ATTCCAATTGAAAGTATCATTATGTGTATTATACAACATAATGATGATATTTATGTATGTCAAAAGTTACAAGTTCTCACGATCAAATTKTTGAGTTAAGTAGGTAGGTACTATACACAACAATACTGAAATCGTTATTCTTCGTTTAAATATCCAATCTATAAGTGAACTTGAACTTCGAATATCTGTTTAAAAAGTATTTGTACAATTTTTAAATTTTTTGATTTCAGTGCAAATTACTTGTGAAAATCCTTGAATTAAATTTGCTAGCTAGTAGCTATTTGACAGAACTAAAAAAAAAATTATAGAAATTAATGAGAAAAATATAAAAAAATTAACATAAAAGAGTCAAAATATTTTGATAGAAAAATTTTGAATTATTTTGAAAAATATTGTAAATCTGAATTACTGATATCTATAAAAATTGAAGTTCTAATCATTTTTCTATAATTTACAATACTAATTATGATTAAAAAAGCTAGGATTTTTATTTTCATGTCTTCATTGAGAGCTTTTTCTAGAGTATCTGTTATTGGGAAAATATTTCGTATATTTTGATATTCTGGACATTCTTAGATGTAACTAGGTACATATTATTTATATATTAAATTTTCTACCTAACATTATTTATAGATAATTACGGAAATATATTTAACATTACACAGCAGTAAGTTGATTTCAACAAGTAGGTACATATTATAATTGTATAATGAATAATTGAACAGTGATTTTTGTATCGTAGAAGTTGTATAATTGGATCATCAAATTTCTCTAAAGAGGTTATAGTCGAAAATATGCTCTTATAGTCAGTGGMGTGATTTGGAATTGGTTCTGGGGTGGGATATAAGTTTGTACTATCATCCTAGAGGGGGACTTTACCACCTCACACCCCCCCATGACCATTAAATTTCGTAGATCATAGTATTGTATTAATTTGATATCATAAATTAAACGAGGTAAATKATGGTAGAATAAAGGTTTCCAAAATTATAGTTAAAACAGAGAGAACACTGAGCYGTCAGTCTATAAAAGTAATATTAAATCTAAGAAATATCTCCACCAATGGATGACTTCCGTCTTCCACTATCATGTGACTTGTGTTTCCTATGTTTCCTATTGCATATTATTGTTATTGCAATTATGACACAAATAAATATTATGTGTCTAGATTGTCTTTTTCTCCATTTTCAATAAAAAAAAATAAAAAACTATTAGCCGTTATATATTATAGTTTATAATTGTTGAGAGGCATCGTAATTTCAAACTAGTAAGATAAAAAAAAATTCTCAACTATGATAATGTCAATGAATTCTTACTTCTTATTTTAAAATTTTAAAATCTTCTAGAGCCAAGTGCTTGATGGGATTTAATTATGATGGTTATTTTTTTAAAAGGGGGGGGGCTCTGGGGGAGGATATATCTCCATATTCCCTCCGTAATGACGCCACTGCTTTTACTTCCTATACTTATCTATTGACGCAATTACGCAGTTTATAGATATAGGGTGATCACTGATCAGTAAAAAGGATATAGTTAAAAAKTGTCGGTGTCCAATGTAACCCACTTACGGTGTGCGAACGAGAGCCATGACGATGACGTTAACCGATGTGACTATTCGTACGTAAACTTCAAAGTTGTTCTTTTGAAGCACAAAGGCAGTGTGAATAATGAAGTAAATACGTGTGGCCTCGAAACAAACGGAAAAAATGAATACCGTCGTTTAAACGGTAACCTACAAAGAAAGATCCAAACCAGAAGTTGGAGAGTCATCGAATCAATATTCAATAGTATATACTAGGTACTTTGACCTTAATAACTATATTTTTTGATTTGAGTTTATGCAAATGATATGAAACTGTAACAGAGTTCTAGCCGCCCTCGTATCGTGATTACCTTGGTATATATCTAAGTTTACCGATAAATGACTATTGGTGCTCTCATAAAATTAACGCATCATGACGTGCCACCTGTTCTTTAAATCTATCAAATCGATAACAATATTATTTATAGGTATAGTGGGGAACGTATTTATAAGTATAGGGTGAACACTGTAAACGGATACATTTTTCCGTTATACGTGGCTGATTTGCTTTGGCATGTTTACTGTTTACAGGTACAAGGTACAGATGACATAGATAGATCAGCCCCGAGGCAGATTAAATACAATTTTWAAAAAATGCGACAAAGTGAGTACTAATTTGCGGTACTTACATTAGGCGTCGTTTGGGTTAAATGTTCTATGTAACAAAAGTAATACTAAATGTATATTATTATATTATTACTCAATGGTGTCATTTCACAAATTACATATAAAATTCAAACGCAAAAAATAGGTAGCCTCTCTAATTATCGGCGCATAATATTACGTAAAAATGTATTGAAAAATAAATCTTATTTCAAAAATATTGGTTCCCATTTGAATTTTATAACTTATCTCTAAAATCTACCATATTTTATCAATAAAATAAATCACTAATATCCTATTAATATAGATTATATGGTTCAAAAAGGTTTTCGCGTAGGTAATTTTTCCTATTTTAAAATGTCATGCTGTAATCTGCTGTCACATACAATTCGGAACACCCTGTATAACATATCCAACCTCAGTGGCGTATTTTGGGGGGTTGTCCTCCATGTCTTGACACCCCCCGACATTTAAAAAAAAGTCCTAATATATTGTCACTTATTTTATAGTATACCATTTTTTATCAAATGTAAGACTTCGTGTCAATTCCTAACATATTAATTTGTTAAAAAATTAATTCAATATCTTTTTACATTAGTAAATAATACTAAAAATTTTGTTTTTGAGGTTCAATAAATGTTGACACCCCCCGAGAAATCAACCAAAATACGCCACTGTCCAACCTGCAGTGGTTTCCTTGGATCCACACCTTTTTGAGCATAAAAACAACTGAACAATTTCACGTTCAGGGTTAAAATATCAAAAGTCTACAGTTATTCGTTTATAAATCACAATAACACAAAAAAATCGATTTTGATGATCTGCAATTACATATATCTACTCGAATAAGCATAATTACGAACAGTCTATTCAGAATAGATAGGTATTAAAAAATTAAAACTTTATTAATAAAAAAATTTATTAATACGAGAACAATAATACAATATTATGCATGGTATAATATAGGTTTTCCTCTTAAAATTAATACGCAATAAAAACAAAGAAAAATACTAACAAAGATCAAAACAATGATTACAATATAGATATTTCGTTATTTACATAACAGTACTTTTTAAAATTCTTACATACAATGATAACAAGACCATGGTTTTGACTACAAAATTAATAATATTAATTGTTACTCTTACATTAAAATTAAATATTTTTACAACACAAAATTAAACTATAGCTAGGTATAAACATTATAGACAATTGCACAAATAATTTAATTAAAAATATAAAAATTAAAAACACAACAAAATAGTATGTTATAAGATTGCTTATTTTATCAAAATAAATCAAGGTTCAGTTTTTCACAAACGTAAACATAATATCTCAGAAATGATACTAAATCTAACTAAATAATTTAAATGTTTAGTTAACAGTCTTAAATTTCAAATAATAATTAATAATAAAATTCAGCAAAGTATTTTGATATTATAACAATTATAAATATTAAGAAATTATTCCTTATTCATATTCCATCATAAGTGACTGCTTTAGTCTATCTATTACTACTGTTAAAATAAGATAAACAAAACAGTTTAAGATGGGATTAAAATTAAATTTTAACATTGATAGCTATAATTTTTTAATCAAATGTCCAAGGAAAAAAGACATACAATAAGCTATACAGCCATATTGAATGTTTGAAATATTATTTACATACACTTTCAGCTTATTTTTGTGCTATAACAATTTGATATAATTTAGAAAAATTAGAATTATAAAAATTGTTTAAAACAAATATATTAAAATGTTAAAATGTAATAGTAAGATAAAAAATAAATTATCAATTATAATAATTAAAATAAGCATATTGTCTAAACAACATCTGATCAAAATGCTTTGTTTTTGATCAATATTTTTAGTATAAACCATTGTATATATCAAAGAGTTTTCCTGCATTTGTTGTTGTTTGGGATTTAATTCCCTTCTGTAAATTGAAATATTTTTGTTTTATCCAAAGATTTAATTATTTTCTTATTTGAATAATGATCTTTCTTTTTGGTTGCTGGTTTGATGTTCACTATCAAGAGTGGTTTAATGGACATTTCAAATTGTTTTAGCACAAAAAATATTGCACGAAAAAAAAAGGTTGAAAGTAGAATGAATAATGTATAGCTATTTTGTGAAAGTTTTTATCTGAGGCACTTTTATTTTATCCCAAATTTTTTGACGAAATATAAGTTGTAATAACAATGACATTAATAATCAAAATGCAACTCATGAAATAAATGAACAAGGTAAATTTCTAAACTCAATTGGTTAATAAAATAAAAAATAAATAAAAATAATACACATTGACATCAAAATTTTACAATAGCACCTATTCCTACACACATATAACAATAAAATCTATCAGAGAAATAATAATCATAATATTGTAATTTGAATACTTATCAAAAATAAGCTAATATTATCTACATTAAAATTCTAATCCTAAATTGTTTTAATACACGCTATAAAAATAAGATTATTAACATCTTGTAACTAATTAATAATTTATATACCAAACATTCTGGTTATTGGTAGGTATATACAGTAAACTCTCATCAAGCTGAAACTCAAGGGGAACAGAAAAAAGTTCAAGATATCGAAAAGTAAGAGATATTGAGTTTTATTAAAATGTTAATTATTTTAAGGGAATTTCTTTTGACTTCAAGTTTTCAAAAATTTGAGATATTGATATTCACCATGATAAGGATCTACTGTATATTAAAATATATACCGACAATAAGACGCAACATCAAGTCTTTAGTATATTGTCTACACTAGGCAAAAATATACTTTGGCATTTATTTATTGCTTAATTTTATAACTTAAAACCCTTTTTTTGGAAATGTTTATTGTCAATTACTACTAGATAGTTTAAATGTTTAAGCCTAAGTGTTTTGTTATCCAAAACTGTAACCAAGACTAAAGCTAAAAGCTAAAAAAATAGTTTTAACACTCTAATGGGCAATTTTGAGTACAACAATGATGACTGTGATACATAGGTTGAAAACAATATTCATTTAAATAGTTTTTATTTAGATTGTTTAATGATTTTTTTTTCAATTTTGTGGAGACCATTTACTTAGTTATTTATTTAAGTTTTTAAGCTGTTGGCTATGATCACAGTTACAATGTTAGAAATAAAAAAAAACCAAGGTTTATAAGCGGATCAATAAACTAATTTAAAAATGTTTCAAGTATTTTATATTTAACCCCACTCAATTAAAATTTTTTTATAAATACTTTAATTTTGTTAAGTTTATGTGTTGACATATTTGTTTTACAAAAATATAAATCTTTGTGTTAATCGTGATTATACATTTACCATGTCAGAATTAAAATATAAAAACAATGTAATTTGAACTACTCTCATGAAAACACTAGCTTAAAATTAATTAAGAATATAT